TATGTCTCTCGGCTGGCCTGGGAACGCCTCGGCATTCCCCCGGAGGAGCTGGAGGAAGTGTCTGGAGAGAGGGAAGTCTGGGCATCTTTGCTTACACTGCTGCCCCCGCGATCCGGTCCCGGATAAGCGGAGGAAAATGGATGGATGTATGGATTTTTATATTGACTTATACATTTGTGTGTTATGTAAATAATATGTCTGTCTTTTAAGATGAGAGCTGCCGGAAAAAAATTCGTTGTGCTATGCATGATGACAATAAAGATTCTTGACTTGACTTCTTGTTTGCTCAAATGAGATTGTTTTCTGGTTTTCTAAGTCTTCAGTGACAGTAAACTGCATCTCTTTTGGTCACATGACATTTTACAGACAAAACAATCAATTAATCAAGAAAATTATTTGCAGATTGTTGCTGCACATGCAAACAAGGATAATTTGAACTGTGAATGAGTGACTAGGACTCACATAGGCTTCATAGTCGCAGGACTGAAAGATGAGCTTCTCGGGGTGATGCTGCCAATACTGCACCGGAGTGGACGAGGTTGCCTCATTTGGTGGACGCAAAGTGATTGGTTCGCACCACTCGCCTGCCTGAAATGACAACCAATCACGTCAGGACACAAACTGGATCACACCAGATTCACAAGATTACAAGATGTGCATCCCATGTTGACATAACTCATTGGCTCGAGTTTAAATTCACATAGTGAAACTCTCTTGACTGAACATGAACAGCCTTCAAAGGAACACAACCAAGAGAAAATTAAACTTGAATGAATTCTTCTCAGCTACTGAACGTTTCCATACTTTTAGCAGAGTCTTCCTGCTATTTCACCCAGTGTGTCTTCACATTTTAAACAAAGGAAATACTTAAATCCTGTCTACCTACTCCCCAAATGTCTGTAGATGAAAAATAAGCTCATTTGGTCTTTCATTCTTTGGTAAATGAAACCAGATGGGTCTTTTTTGTGTGTTTGAGGAGGTATGTATACATCCTGTGCCAAAGACTGCATGTTTATGTGATTGCATGCATGTCACAAAGTTAGTGAGGGACTATAGAGGTGACATATTAGAATCAGACACGATGATGTTGGTTAAACGGTTTTAGGATAAGCCTTTAGAGACAAGCATCAAACATACGCTGTACTCCACCAGCTTAAACAGTATTATAGCCGTTTTTTCCACCCAACACTCTGACCTGCTGATGAACTCTTACATTAATATAATGCAATCTCAAAGGCCTGGAAGAGGGGAAATAAAAACTACAATAATTAGAATAAGATTTTTTCCTTTTTTTTATTATACAGTTATCATTCAGTTCTGGCTAAGCTGACTCAATGCCACCTCAGAGCGCCTTTTCTGGAAAAGTGAG